CATCGAGGTGGAGCCGTTCCGAGATTTTACCCCGCACCAAGCTCGTCGTAAGCGTGTCATTTGGCAGAACACCTACTCCGCTTGGGAGATGGGCAAGGCAATCGTAATTTGTCGTGTCGCCGCGCAGCGTAGGGTTCGGTCACGCGCGGCAAATTCTCCATGTGCTTCAATGTGCCAGTTGCAGCAGCGAAACTCACATGAGTTTGAAGACAGCTCCCGCGATGGACTTTGGCAGGTTTTAGGGGTCAGATTTGTTAGAACAGGTGGCAAATAAAGCACTAATCGATCTCGCGGCGCAAATGAAGCACTAATCAAAAAAGTAAGGAAAAGGTGTGCAAGAACATGAATAAGACCCTATTCAATTTAAGGCATCTGGACGAGTTTCGCAGATTTTGGGTGAGTTCTCCAAACACGTCGCCGCCTCGTTGCGGCTAATTCTCATGAGGCCACTACCTAGGTTATCTTATCTAATCTAATTAATCCACGCTGGCATTGATAATCGATCTGTCTATGAGTTAATCTCTCTATCAGTGTACGAAACGAACGCTAGAAATTTAGCGATTATCAATGCCAGCGAGGATTGACAACTGTTAACCAGTCGAGGCGGGATTAACAGGACAGGCGGGGTCAGCTTAGCATTGTTGACTCCGCCTTCGTCAATCAATCGATTTCGAGCCGCAAGAGTGGGATATCCGCTGTGGTTGCGGACTCCGCGATCTTGTACAGTGCAGGGTTTTTTTCACCTTGGTTGATCGCGGACGCTGCCTTTAAGCAAGGACAAGACTCTATGACGGGCGATATCGAGTTTTCCCATCGCTTTGGCACTCATGTTCAAAGGCCAAGCAGGACAACTCGTCTGTCGGGCGGGCGCCGCTCGTCCGCGCCCAACTGCGCGCCGTATTACGATTGTCTTGGCATACAACGCCTATCCCTATTCGTGGTATATGGTTACTTTAGAAACTTCCAAAGCGAATTTCAAGCGTGAACATTTCAGATGTGTCAGGTCTTGCGAAAGTGAGACAGATTGTTACGGGGGCATGCCGCAAGTGTGGATATCCTGGTCACCTTCCATTCCAGGTAGTTTTTGCGATATTATCGTTTATAACATCTGACTCGAATTGGAATGAATGAGATGTTGTAGTGTCGAAATTTCATTCAACTAAAACCTGGCCAATCAACTGTGATTGATGTGAGCTCAACCAGCAGCGAAAGCGAGACAGAAACTCCCCTTGGTAGAGCATTTTATATTATATCTAAATCTGTGGTTTTGTTACATTACACTATATACTACATTTCAGTGAAGAAGCATAAAAAGAAACACAAAAAGAAAGAAAGTAAGAAAAAACACAAAAAGACGAAGAAGCATAAGAAACACAGCACTAGGTGAGATCGTGATATTCGCATTGGATTTCGACATATTTTCAATAGGCAGTGTTTACAGCAGTTCTGACTCTGAAGACGATCGTCATAGAAGGAAAAAATCTAAAAAGAGGAAGAGGCACTCGAGCAGTTCATCGCAGGATGATGAGAAGCCGAAGAAGAAAAAGAAGAAGCACTGAGTCGGAGCTTTCACCCGTGAAGGCTTTACTGATGGAATTGTCCTTTTTTATTGACTTTATATGGTCATTCGTCTTTCTCCTCCGGCATTCTCGCTTTGCATTGTTTTTCTGCTGAAACTCGTTAATTTATTCGTTGAATCACTTGTTATATATGGTCCCAAGGCTCCATATAGTGCAAACCTTCGTTATATATATCGGGGTAATTTGTTGAAAGAGTTTGTTTGAACAGCCGAATCTTCTTGAATATAAACTCGAGGTCCGATTTCATCTGCAAAAATTTATTACTAGTGCTACACTCTTGACTATCTTCCAGTACTCCCTAGAGAATATTTCTTAAACTTTAATCCCAAAAATTTAACCCCCACGATGAGAATGAAGACGGATAAAAACGCTGGAGCTTACGGCACTGAACAGCTCCCCCTTTCGAGAAGTGCCACGCATTCCGCTCTCATACGAAATCGCACTGCAGACTAATTCACAACAAATGAGGGGCTGTCTATGTGCAAGTGTTTTTTTTT